GTCAAAGCCCGAAAAAGCTCAATAGCTAACATTTAGGTAACATGTGATCATATCTGTCAGGAAGTAACAGTTCTATCAATGTCATAAGGATGCATTCTTGAAGACTTTCAAATAGCACGAAACATGAATCCAGCGTTTTCTACATACTACCTCTGTGGTGCGCGCTACTTATAAGTAGTATATAATCCGAGTGTAAACGTAATGTCTGACAGCAGAAGATAGGGGGAGATCAAGAAAGGAAGAGTCGAAACACAATGGAATGGAATTTGTATGAAACGTATGAATATTGAAATGTCAGACATTGGATTGAAGATGGATTGATATTTTGCAAATTAACCGTTTGTGATATGGTTTTCCTATTTTACTGAGTAACTCTGTAATTTGCGATAAATACAATTCGGTAGCCCTCACCTGTGTTCTCGTTCACTACACCTCCAACTGTTATGAACGAAAAACGTACGACCAGACGGCACCAGTTTACTAGCGAAGTGAAGTGGAGAATACAGGCGAGCATGACTAGTTATTTATAGTCAGATAAAATAAGTCAGACATTCGATAAGCGAAGTATGCTCCACACACACTTGAACAAAAACATTCAAGATAAAAGTGAATACTTGGCAAAGTCAGAAAACATGAGAATAATAATAACTCGGGAAGAATGTGTAACACGTGTACTCAACAGTCACTGGAATGGAGGAGAAGACTTCAAACCACAATACACAATATTAACCAAGAACTAACTTCACACCAACAGAGAACTTGGAGTGGTAGCCGTAGGTCTTTTATTTGGAAATTGAAATTTGCGGGTTCTATACAAAAGGAATGGCTTATTTAAAAAATGATCTTATGAGTCACAATGTAAGTCCAGCGAACTTAGGGCTTGCTCTTCTCCTTCCAAAACGTTTATCCTTGGTCGCCCTGTAATAGAAAGAGAACAGAATCTATTAATAACGTCGTCGTACGTAGTGATTTCAACACTGTTGTTACAAATGGATCGGTTAAATTGATCAAAGGCTGTGCGAAGCCCTGTACTTACTTACTTACTTACGCCTGTTACCCCCAATGGAGCATAGGCCGCCCACCAGTTTTCTCCAACCAACTCTGTCCTGGGCTTCCCTCTCCAGTTCTGTCCAATGTTTGTTCATTCCTCTCATATCTTTATTTCTCGGCGTAGTGTGTTCCTTGGCCTTCCTCTTTTCCTTTTGCCTTGAGGATTCCATGTGAGGGCTTGTCTCGTGACGCAGTTAGGTGCTTTTCGTAGTGTGTGTCCTATCCACTTCCACCGCTTCTTCCTGATTTTCTCCTCCACTGGAATCTGGTTTGTTCTCTCCCACAGTAGGTTGTTGCTGATCATGTCTGGCCAACGAATCTGAAGTATTTTGCGTAGACAACTGTTAATGAACAATTGTATCTTGTGGATGATGGCTTTCGTAGTTCTCCAGGAAAGCAGCTAACTTCGTTACAAGACAAGCCGTCACTCAGAATCCTCAAAACCAAAGAAAAAGAGCAAGGCCAAGGAACACATTATGTCGAGAAATGGAAACAGACATGAGGAGAATGAACACCATTTGGATAGAACTGGAACAAGAATCCCAGTAAAGAGTAGGTTGGAGAATAGTGGTCGGCGGCCCATGATCCACTAGGGGGTAACAGGCGAAAGCCGGTAAGAAAGTAATCTGTGGACTGTTTTTATAATTAGGCTCTATTTTCTGATTGTGTTATGTTTGTCACTTGGTGCGCTTGAAGCTATTATGAGTTCACCTTAGTCGATAAACGCAAACGAGACAATTACCAGGGTCGAGGTAGGCTACCTTCAATCCAAAGCTGAAGAAAGCACGCTTTGTAAGCATAGAAAGGATATTCTACAAACACCTAGCAATCGTAATACAATCAAGCATACAACTCTCGTTTATTTATACATCATAGAAACGTCCTAGTGGGACAGTTACGAAAATATCACACTAAAATACACAGCAGCCAATCACAGCCATGGATTTTCCTGGTGGGAAACGAAATCTCAAGGTCAACTGATCAGCCCATGCTGGCAAACGTGAAATCCAAAATAGGGCATGAGAAAGACTGAACATTGAGAATATGATTTTAGAAAATCATATGTATGGGAGAACATTAAACCTTTACAATCTGAAGTTAATCAATGCGGTAATGTGTTTATCCTGTTGTAAACAATGCTGTGGCATTATCATCCAATATCGATAATCAATGATCATAGTTATCTTATAATCTTTAAACTAGTAGTCTGTATTCACTTAAATGATTTTTACGAATAGCTACTGTCTTCATTGATGTATTCATTGAGTTCTGTAAGTCAACCCATTTGATGATAAAGATTAGATGTAATACACTCTCTTTTCAAGTATCTCAAGAAAGAAGAATCTTACGTACTCATTTACTTACGCCTGTTACCCCTAATGGAACATAGGCCGCTGAACAGAAAATTGTATAGGATGGGGTCGCTAACCGCATCCCACGCCTCCTTCTTTAGCCGGGCTTGGGACCGACAGTTAACGTGGAAGGAATTCGGGTGAAGTTAGGGAAAGAAGTATCGTTTAGAAACTACACCACGACTACTGAGACCATGTGGAATAGTTGTATTACACAAACCAACAGAATCATTTCAATCAATCCTATGTAGACTAAAGGACCAAATATCATCTACAAAATAAACTGCTCAGACTGTGAGAAACACTATATAGGATAAAGTGGACGGTCTCTTCAGCTTCGTTTGGCAGTGAAATGCCACAATATTTCTACCCTTATATCAACACATACGGACAATTATGAACATACATTCGATTGGAACAATCTTGAAATACCTGATAGGGGGAGTATAAAGAAGAGTAGAGAATTTTTAGAGGCTTAGTACACTCAGGTCAATCAGCAATCAACGAACACATCAACATTGACCCAATCAGAAAAATCACACGTAAACATAGGATCGAGAAAAAAACCAATAGGGGGATACAATCAAAATAAAGATACAAACACCAACAGGTTCAAGGGCGACAGCATCCAGTCTAGATCGAGGTTAACAGAACAATCTAACGGGTCAAACGTACAGAAATTCAATTACTTCACTACTGTAATCTGAAGTTTGTGCTGATGATGATATTGTTCAACAGGAGAACAATGAAAGCTCCACAACCAAAATAACATCCAGCTCATAGAGATCGAAACACCACCACAAGTATCGTTCAACAATATGAGCTGTTGAAAATTGATAATCAACCATACTTTCAACAGTACTTAGAACTACAGATCGAAACAGATCGAAAATTTCTGCATTCAATCACTCCGTATCAAAAACTCACTTTCTCCCTCTCTCTCTCTCTCTCTCTCTGTTCAAACTTGATAAATGCTTTCAAACCACTAAGCGTAAATTAGTTAATTGTTTCTGTTAATCCTTAAAAGAGAAAGGGGGCTGCCGGTCAGCATTCTCCAACCAACTCCATCCTGAGTCTTCCTTTCTAGTTCTATCCTTTTGATGTTTGCTCCCTATTCTCGGTGTATTGTGTTCTTTGGTTTTCGTTTGGCCTTGAGAAAGAATCCAAGTGAGGGATTGTCCTGTGACTCAGTGCGTTGCTTTCCTCATTGTGTACCCTATCCATCTTCCTGATATATATATATATATATATATATATATATATATATATATATATATCGATAAGTTCGTCACTAAGTATGCCTGAGGCTATTATGAGTTTACCTTAGTCGATAAACGCAAACGAGACTGTTATCAGCGTCCAGGTAGGCTCCCCAAAGCGAGTAAAAAGACTTTGTAAGCGTAGAAAGTATATTCTACAAACACCCAGCAATCACAGTACAATCAAGCATACAACTCTCGTTTATTTGTACATCATAGAAACGTCCTTGGGACAGTCACAAAAATAGCACACTAAAATACACAGCAGCCAATCACAGCCATGGATTTTCCTGGTGTGAAGTGAAATCTCAAGGTCAACTGATCAGCCCATGCTGGCAAACGTGAAAACCAAAATAAGGCGTTTATCAAGCGAATTTTGGGGATCTAACATCCCCAACAAATATATATAATGGTTGACCCATTGATAATATTTAACAGCAACCATGATGTGTTTTTTTTCTAAAAGAAAATCTCATCATCATATATAATAATATAAAAAATTATTAATAAATACATTGAACAATTGAACGATCAAAAAAACTCAAAGTCCAATGTTTTTTTTGGTTGTTGTTGTTGTTTGACAACATTGATCGCATTTTAATCAGTTATAATTATCTTGTTTAAAAAATCAAGGTCACTCAATTGTGCGCTTTTTAAAAAAAAATTATTTAGTCCCTACATTTAGTAATTAATATGCCATTAATAGCAATAATAATAATAATATACTTTGTGTAAACTAATCACCACTTGTTATAGTTATTAATCTAAATTGTCTCTGTTCTAATTTTTTTTAAAAACAACTCATTTAAAAATTACCATGAAATTATTGACCAACCAATAAAAAAACATGACATGACATTCAATTAAAAATGACTTTTTTGTTTTAAACCACTAGACTGGACTAAAATAAAATGCAACAATAGGAGGAGGAGTTGATTGAGGTCAGTCAGTCAGTCAGTGAACATTGAATGAATGAATCAAACATTCCCCACAACTACAACAACAAAATATGCTGCTCATTCATAGGAAATGATGAATATTGTTGCGTGGTTGTAGGAACCAGTTGAAATGATGAAAATATCATTTGCATGAAAATGTCCCCTTCCTTACGTATTTAGGATATATATATATATATATATATATATATATATATATATATGCTTATATGCATCATTAAAGTATTCAAAAAACGCGCGCTAAAATCAGTCCAATTCAAATCAGTGAAACATTGAATATGAGTGTATTTAAACAAAACCAATTATTATTATTCTTTTCATTCTTATATATAATAATCACTTTGAATTTCTTGATATCTGAACATGATGATTCTTCATTGGATATGAGGAATAAGAAACATTTAAGATTTACATCACCATTACGAACTCATAATTTTAATTTACAAAATTTACAAACATTACATTGGATTAATCAATTCATACAACGTCATCGTTTCCCTACTCACAATACTTATTGTTTAAATCATAAACGAACATATTCAAATGATCCTCATTTGTTATTTTTACAGAATGATTTATTTAAATTGTTAAAAGGTAAACGTAGAATGATGATCAATCATGATGATGTTTTAGTTGATCAATTATTAAGGAGTGAAATCACAAAGTTACGAGGTTGGAGACCACAACGATATGGATAAAAAGTGATTTTATGCTGTTGTTGTGGTTATATGATTAAAACATTGTGTAAATGTTTTGTTTTATTGATCAATATTCAATTTAATGAATGTGTTGTTTAAATTTTAAAATAATACATTTTAAAATTCAATAATTCTCGCTTATTTGAATGGAATAATAGTAGTAGTATTAGTAGTGTAGTGCGCGCTACTTATAAGTAGTATATGACGCGAATGAAAATGTAATGACTGGCAGAAGAGAAGATGGGAGAAGATCAAGAAAGGAAGAAGAGTGGGAACACAATGGAATTTGTATGAAATGCATGAATAGTAGTGAAATGTAAGACAATGGATTGAAGATTTGCAAATTAACGATTTACGATAAGGTTTTCCTATTTTACTGAGTAACTGTAATTCGGTTGCCCTCACCTGTGTTCTCCTTCACTACAATATCACGTTTTATTCGCCACCCACCATAGAAAATAAACTTGCTAAAAATATTATGCAAACTAGAAAATTTCACTGCCTACTTTAGGATTCGGGCGTTCTTCGTTTAGAACAGTTATGATGCCACGTAATGAAAGCCAATCTTTTTCGGAAGTCACGATGCCGATGTCCGTTCTCATAACTAGAGCAACTATGAAGTAGGTAGGTATATGATAAGACGAAGAAGCTCATTGGAAAGTGTAGTAAAGTGGAACCATTAGTCAAGTACACGGAAGGCAAAAGCTACCATTTAAAATTCAAGAACAGAGAAACAAATGGGAAGAGAAATTTGAAGAACTCCTGAACAGACAAGTCACAATAAACCCACCCTGTAATCGAAGCAGTACCCACACACCTCCGAATTGATTGGAGAACGCTAATGCTAAAAACAGGCAACTCAATGTCTAAGCGCAGAGTCGTATTGGTGACTGTAGAGGGCTGTGGCGGCAGTACGGTGTTTCCCTCGGACAAATAGCATCTGCAACGATACTGTCTTCCTTATAAAGGAAGGAAGGGATTGGAAAATTTCCGCTCTAAAAATGTTACACCTCACCTTACCATCTCCGGCGGTAGAACCCTTTAAAGGGATGAGCTAACACTTCAAAAACTTCCCATCAAAAGGACCTATGTGACCGATCCTCAAGGAGTTGTTCCCTTGAGCTCTGCGGTCACATTCCAAGGTTGCTACAACCAATACTGGTCCAACTTCTTTTTGAAATTTCGCACGAAATACCCTTTCACAGTGTAGGCAACCGGAAAGTGAGATCCTCCTTCACACCCGTGACAGCACACAAGATGAATGAAATTCGGTCACAAACAAATAAGATTTACTGATAATATCTATTCAGTTTATGCGATAAAAATAATAAGATTACGACAAACAAGAAGTCCAACAAGTTTAAAAGCGATGGTGAAGCCTTCAAAGTGTATGATATTACTTACTTACTTACTTACGCCTGTAACCCCCGATGGAGCATAGGCCGCTCACCAGTTTTCTCTAGCCAACTCTGTCCTGGGCTTCCCTTTCCAATTCTGTCCAATTTTTGTTCATTCCTCTCACATCTTTCTCTATTTCTCGGCGTAATGTGTTCCTTGACCTTCCTCTTCTCCTTTTTCCTTGAAGGTTGCATGTGAGGGCTCGTCTCGTGACGCAGTTTGGTGCTTTTCGTAGTGTGTGTCCTATCCACTTCCACCTCTTCTTCCTGATTTCCTCCTCCACTGCAATCTGGTTTGTTGTTGTTGCTGATCGTATCTGGCCTACGGATCTGAAGTATTTTGCGTAGACAATTGTCAATTAATAATTGTATCTTCTGGATGATGGCTTTGGTAGTTCTCCAAGTTTCCGCTCTATACAGTTTAAATGTCTTGATATTTGTACTGAAAATCCTGATTTTGGTGTTGATTGATATTTGTTTGGATTTCCAGGAGCATAGGACGCTGACCGGCGAATCAGTTTTCTGGTTAGCGGTTCTTTTTTTTCAGCGTGTTGGATGGATTTCTACCGGATGAGGCCACTAACCCCACGCCTAATCCTCCTCCTCCTCCATTATCCACACTTAGAACTGGCACTAATCTTAGAAGGACCCCGACGCGGAGTTATTTCTTCTTTTTCACGTTAGTAGACTGAAAGACAAAATCAACTAACTTATCTGCTGTATATACAGACAGTTATCCAGTGTTTTTTTTCCTAACATTCACAGATTTATTCATGTGTGTAATTCAGTGCAGTGCAGTGCTCTGTTAGAACAAACGGAAATCATTCACTACAGGATACATGTTTAAAGTGTGTGGTGTGTGTGTGTAGGTAGGAAGGTAGGTAGGTAGACAAGTACAAAATATGAACAAATTGTAAACGAGATAGACAGAGATAGACAGAGTGAGAGACAGTCGACAGAGCAAAGAAACTTCATGTATAAAATCAAATTGTACAAAGGCGTCAAAATAATTAATTTCCTAAATAAAAAAGTAGTTTGATATAAAAATTTTTCTATTTGAATGAAAATTTACCTAATCTAACACACATGCAGTAGTCTATGAAATTAACCGGAAATATATCTATCTAAGTTGGCATGTATGTATGTAAAAAAACAACTGTGTAAAACACAATGTTCACTTTATAGTCAGTCAATCAGCATATTCAATCAGTTAGTCAATTAATTACATCAGATTGGAAAAAAAGTAGCCCTGATCGATTGATATGATTGACACTTGTATTACGGTTGCGTAGATTGTTAAGTTACACATTTTGAAACCATGAACCGATGAATGTTAGACCACCAGCATTAGAAACCTGGAAGAAGCACTGGACAGCCGTTTCGTGCTGGTATGGGACTCTTCATCAGTGGCAGTGCGCATCCACGACTCCTGCACCCC